TTCTACAAAGAAGCGACAGACCGAGCCGACTCCTACCTGCCAGTCTGTTGTTGACCACGTTGTGTCTGGACCACAACCACAAGACTGCCGTGGGCAGTGATGTCACCTGCTCCAGAGTCTCTGCTGCCATGTTCTCAAAGTGTGCCGCACACTCCCTGCAGCCAAAGAAGTTGTGGACGTAGCTTCTCATCGCATCCAGCACCTCCTGAGGATCTTTAAAGACAGTGCACAATGCTTTAAAATACATTACAATACGTTTAAATTCAACTTTACTGTAGCATTAAATCTGTCATTTCCTCCAAAGTCACTCACAATCACATCTAAATGAGGTCACAGCTGCAGAAACGCACCTGAGCATGCACCTCCTGAAGGTTTGCCAGTGGCAGCGAGGACCCACCACCCGCTGGATTCCCACGATTACGTGGGAGTCACCCAGAGCTGGGTTAACCCCCATATTGAGATGAATGGGATAATGCAATCTGGAGATTAAAGGCCGTTAACGCTCTATGTGAATGGTGGCCCGGCTGTTGTCTCAGGACTCCAGCAGCCCGCTAACATATTTCCCTTTAGCCGTTTGCTTTTGTCCTCAGCTTAGCAGATCCTTTAGATGTTCACCAATCAGCTGGTGCGAGCACGGACAGGAGCTTTGAGGCCTTTATGAAAATAACGATAGGCCTGTGGAAGACCTTTGATACTGTGCGGGTGTGTGCAGATATGGATAAATGATGTTTTCTCTGATAGTCAGAAGTGTGTGTTAGTGTGTTAGTGTGTATCCATGCGCCCTTTAAGCCGTGGTGGTCCGCGGTGGGCCAGATGGACACCATTTTTGGCCAGTCCATCTGCAGGTCACATAATGGTCTGTAAACCTGGGGATTAACCTCGGTGTGGATGTATATGAGTGGGCCTGTCTCTGTGTGTACTGCAGGGAGATTAACGTCCCTGCCAGGAGCGCAGCCTCTGGTCATCTGCCTCCTATTTTTATTAACCGCTCACATTCCACTAATCTACAATAATCCCGTTTCACACAAACAATTAGGCTCAATTTGAACTGTTAAAAATAAAAATATAAACTCATCTCTGTCAGATCAGGTCACTGTTGGGAAGGAAAAAGGCCAAAGCAGAGCTCATGTGTTTACAAAGCTCTCTCGTCCTCAGTCTTTTCTGCATTTTTGACCTCTCAATGACCTTTTAATTCATCGCAACACAAACTGTTTGTACCTGAGCCTTTGCCGTTAGCTTGAACGGTAAGAACATGGAAGAGAGTCCACACCCCGCAGGGATAACGTCTGAAGTGGGGCTGTGAACCCTGACAGCCCACCCACCTCACGCCGTCTGGCAGCGTCGAGTTTGGAGCCTGAGAGAAACACAAAGAAAAACAATCAAATTACAGGTAAATGTGAAGTAAGGACAAAAAATCCAAGATTTGTATGCAACAGATTCTCAAGATATGATGTCCTTTGATATGCTTAGACATAAATATAATATAGATAGAAAGCAATTTTTCAAATATCTCCAAATTAGAAGTTACATTCGAGCAAATCAA